AGGAGCGAGGGGACCCTACACCGACGCTGCCCACATTCGGTGAATGCGTGCCGTCGCCGTTGGACGAGTCTCGTGCGGGGACCACGATCTTCCGCTTCTTGTTATTAGTGGAGGCCGTTTTGAAGCTGATTGCCTACCGTGAAGCCCGCGAAGAGCTTCAGGGCAGACGGTAGAGGGCGGACGAGCGAGGGTGAAAGGGCAAGCAAAAGGCGGACAAGGACTATGCAGCGGGCCGCAGTACCTGGGCAATGGCGCCTCTTCTTCACAAACACAGTAGCACGGCGGTGAACAAACGAGGGGTAACAGCGCAATGTCCGCAAAAATCAGAGCAGCGCCGTGACATGGGCCGTCGTCACTATCGCTGTCCGACCGCTCAGCCTTGCGGACACTACCTTGGTAAGCGAGCTTGGCGACGCGGTGAATGCTCCCCCCTGTCGCGTGTCCGAAGCTGCCAGAACACCATCTGTTTGTGTTTGGTGCATGTCACAATCGCCTAGACAACACCATGGGAAACCACAGCACATGCATGTGTAGAATTCATGACGCCATGTCAACAGTCTGTATTCTGTCCGGCGTTTGGTGTTACGTATGATACAAGCGCAGCATCGCGTTTCATTTTGACCCGCCACTGTTCAGCCATGCGAAAGCAGAGGCACCGCCTACTGGATTCGCAGATCGAGGCTTCGACAGGCCAGGCATATTTTCCCTTGCTTTGTCCCCAGACACACTCCTCTTCACCGGAGGAGCCGCCGCAGGGTTGCTTGCTTCGCTCTCGCCTCTGCGCTTTCCATCATCAAAGAAGCGTGACTGCCCGGTCACAGGCGATGAGTTTGACGTCGACAGAGTACGCGTGGATTTAGAAGGTTTCAATACTTTGATGCCTGTATCACGTCGCTGGTAGCTGGGATCTGAGCTGGCGGTTTTACCCACGTTGGCCCAATCCAGAGAGCCCGTGTTTGTCTTCTCCACTTGGTCACGGCGCCAGTTGCTCCAGATGGCTTGCGGTGCTCCTGATTGTGGAGTTCCGCTTACAGAGCCCGGCTCCTGAGCGTCCTTATCAGAGCGACTTGACGCTGAGAGGCCTGGTTGTGGACGCTGTTCGAGACTCCTCCGGCCACTTGACCCGCCATCCTCAGAGTTGGTCACTGGGCCTGTGCCATTCGATTTCCCCATGGGCGAATACGTCTCACGGGTCGGTGAAGTGCTAGACATCTGAGTTGTGTGATGCGCATGCGCTGAAGCCACAGTCGAAGTAGCGCGGTTCGGATCCGTCGTAGAGGCACCGCTAGCGTGCAAGCACTTGAACGCGCGATCATCTTCAGGACGGACGAGTGGTACCTGAAGCTTGTTACGGTCATCATCATACAGAGTCAGTTGGTTGCATGAAAGAAGGAGGTCGGCATTATGTGCTCGAAGCATGTCGCTACCAAGGAAAATCTGAATGGCTTTTGGATTCACCTCAGCGTCGTGCTCCTCGATGACGGTGAAATCTACGCCTATCGAAGGGAGCTGCGGCGCCGGGCTGTCGGATCGTGAAGATGCTGAAACAGGCACAGCCTCTGGAAGGTAGACAGACAGCTTGATCTTGCGAACCCGGTCCTCGTCCAGAATGACCCGATCCTGAAAGCCCAGGTGTTCAATTGTGTACCAGTCCAGATAGGATGTGTATGAACCTGAGCAGACTGCTGCATACAGCAAGGTGTCGTGTTTGAAGTTGGTGTTGAGCCAGCAACGTATTATGGCAGGAACGGAGCCGAGAATGAACAAGCCAGGAGCCAGCCCTGGGACGTCTTGAGGCGTTGTCGGACCAAAGCTAGTGAGGCTGTTGGCGCGACCCGAAGCCATAGAATGCACCGACTGGCCGGCAGAACTTTGCCTTCCGTCTGACTTGTGGGAGTAGCTGCGCTCGCTCATGACATGCCCGCCCATGCTGCTACCAGTGCGGGGTATCAAATCCAGCGACGATCTCGATGCATGCGCCCAGTGACCGTGATTGGCGGTCTCATCGAAGCGGACGCTGTTCGCGCGAGATGTGGCCCCTACACGGCGGGGTTCCTCGTCGGCGTCAAGTTGGAGATTGCCGATGAGATTGCTGGACTGGTCGTCGAAGTTCGTGAAGTGTTCGGCGGTTGGCTGCTGCAGGGGAACTAACAGTTTTCAGCTAAAGATGCACAATTTCAGGTGAAGCGTCTTACCCTGTTGGGGTGTTCCCCCCAGCACCGAAGGAAAGGGCGATGAAGTCCCCCAGACGTTCTTCAGACGCGAGTCGTCTTCCTGCTTGCGCTCCAGGCGGGCGACGCGATCGGCGAGTTCGGCTTGGTGCTCCTGCACACGTAGCATTTCGCTTTGAAAACGCCAGAAATCGTCGCGCGGCTGGAAGGCTACGCTCTGAGGATCCATGCCCGTGACTCTCTCATCCCTTGGTGACGTGCTCAACAAAGAGACACCAGCCTTCCCGTGGGGACGCCCCTACCTTCACCACCGAGCGACCGCTGCCCAGTAGCCCAGTTCTTTTGTGGCAGTCTCTCTTGTTTAGTAGAGTAGGCGTTTGCGGTGTGCGCGGGTCTGGGTCGTCGGTTGTGAGGAATGCGTTTGAAGCCGACTATCGAGGTGTTCGGTTGGCAATTTGGACGTAAAGGCAAGACCTGTGAAGAGATATCGGCCGTGCTACTATCTCAGATAGCAGGCGTTGGGTGTTGGGCGGTGTGATTAGTTGGACTACTGGAGCAGAAGGTACGATGGTCGCAACAGCGGTCTTTGCCGAAGATCAGGCGGTTCCCGAGACGGCGCTAGAGGGAGCGAGATAATGTACAGTGTCCCAGAAAAGTTTGAACAGGAAAGGAAATAGGAACAGGAAAATCTGACTGCTGGTGTATTCTTGCGTCCTGTTGACGCGATGCTGAGCTGAGGTTCGTCGAGTGACGCTGCTAACCACAAGCTGCCGGAGTTATGCACCCTCGCCCGATTGGACACGACTTCCCCAGAGCCCCGCTTGATCGCGCAGCTGAAATCAAGCTTGCCCACATCCACCATGTCTACCACTTTTGCGCTAGATCGAAGAAGACTGAGCACTCTCCCACTGTTTCCACGCTTCCTGATCGTTCCACGGCGGCAGTACCATGGGCAGCTTCTCAGGCGACTGCAAAGGTGGAGGCACGAAGTCAGTATCTACCTCATGCATTTCATACAGTCAGAACTTACTTGATCCGGCCACTGCTCTGCGATGACCTTGATCAACTCCTGGTAGAAGATCTCGTATCCTGCTGGGTTCAAGTGAAGCCCTGAAACGTGCAGTTAGCATGGCGAGGAAACAGGAAGGTTTTGCGAAACCCTTACCATCGTACATAAGCTCCACGAGGGCGTCATTCTGCGAGACGTCTAAAGAGCCCGGGAGATCATCGCCCAGCTTCCAAATATCTGCTTCGAAGTCCGTCCTCGCCATGAAGGCTTTCCAGAGATGTACGACAGGCAGGCCAAGCTCGGCGCCAAGTTGAACGACTGCATCGGCATATGTTTTGGTCGCACCCGCCAGTCGCGTCACGCTAGCATATCCGTTCGACTGGTCTCTTGGCCACCACAGATGCTCGTTGATTGGGGGAGGAGCCACCAGGATGATACGAGGGTCGTGAGCTTTGATCTGCGGATGAGACATGATGTCCTTTAGGTTCTTGATGAACTCATCAAGAGGAATATGTTGCTTGTTTGGCGCATCTGGTAACGATGAGTCGTTGGCGCCGAAGAAGATGGTCTGTATGGTCAGTCAGGGCTGCATCTAGCATGGACAAGTCTTACCATGAACCGAATCTTAGCCTGATCCGGCGGGGGCACGATGGCGGGCAGTATCTGGAGAGCTTGGCGGGTGTTGTACCCACTGTCATGGTGTTAGTTGTCGGTGCGATCGTAAGGGTAGGACGTCATAACCTGAAGCCGCGGTTGACTACATCCAGTCGCCTGATGTATGCTGTTGGAATCATTAGTGCCTTTTACAGTGGTCCGAGCCAATGACCGCCATGGAAGCTTCACGAAGAGATGTTTTGCATGGGGTAGTAATCGGGAGACATGATGATATTTGGACTGACCAGCTTGAAGGGCTGCAGAGAAGGCAAAGCCTCGCTCCTGGGAGAAGGAGTCCTGGGTTATGCTGTCTCCGAAGAGGAAGAACTGTTCATAGAGAGCAGGCTACAGTCATCAGCACGCAGTCCCAATGGCACTCAATGTCCAGCAGGACTCACCATCTTGAATGCTTTTAGAGAGATGTAGGCACGATCGTCGTCAGACCTTCCGGAATGTCTGCTAGTACCTTGGATATCTCGCTCGGCGAAATCCCGGTGTTCCGAAACCGGCTTTCCCGAGTTGCGTCGTCTGTATCTTCAGATCAGCGGCTCAGCAGCAGATGGATGCACGAGCGGATAAGAAACGACAGATTGGCAGCCTCTACCCCCCAATTCTCCCGACCGCGAGACGCACGTCAGTGTGTAGTGGTGGGGCTGGGGGCTGCGATTGGCGGCTACGGCATCGCGCCTTCTCCGTGTAGGGTTAGCACCTTCCGTTTGCCCTGCGTTCCGTCACCATCGCGTCCACGGGTGCACCCCAATAATCACATGGGACGCGCCTACCGCCCTTTGCGGTGGTGAGACACCTGAGGTCAGCCTCCGAGGGCTGCGCACCGCTGCCTGCTGGAGTTGCTCGAGCTGCTGCTTTTGCTGCTTTGTTCGCTGGCCGCCCTGCACACGCAAGCCGTTCTGAAACAGCTGGCGGACCCGCGGCGGAGCCTATCTCGCCCCGGACACAGGACAACAACGCATCCTGGAGGGATCCGCGGCATAGTGGGGAGCAGCCATGGTGCCCAGCCATAACATATCCATCGTGACACCGCCATCGTTTTCCGGATGACCATGATAGCGGCCTCTGCTCGGCGACATGTCTCTGGCTGCCCTCGACACTAATAGACCGCCCCTGCCCCGATTGTAGCTGCTGCCTCCCTACCCACCGCCCTCGCCATGCCCAAGTCGATGCAGTCGTACCACAGCGTCGACGACTACGACGCCGACGATGACTACGCCGCCGAACAGCGCGAGCGCGACGACACCTTCAGCAGCACCACGCCCACGTCGCCCACGCTCACCTTCAGCGCCCAGCGCCCGATGCGTGCCTCGGACACGGACCTCACGAGGTCGACGGGCAGCGTCAACGAGCGGACCGCCCTGCTAGGAGTGCCCCATCTGCGGGGTGCCAGGTCCTACAAGAGCCTGCCCGCCACCTCCCCGGGCACCCCTCGCCCGGGCATGACGCGCAACAACAGCCAGCTGCCCACCAGCTCGCGCATGCGGAGCCGCCGGGGCTCCCTCACCGGCGGCCACACCTTCAGCCAGCGCCTCGTCAATGCCCTGGGCGAGCGGGGGGCGGGCCTCGAGCAGAGCATGCACTCCGCAAAGGCCTCCTTCTTCCAGGACAACCGCGTGTGGTACGATCAGTTCACGTCGACCGACTGGGTCCACGACAACATCGCCGACGCCTACCGCGTCAAGGCCCTGCGGAGCCGGAAGGACATCAGGGGCCGCCTCGCCGCTTGGTTCGACGGTGCGCAGGGCTGGATTCTGGTAGCCCTAATCGGCGTGCTCACTGCCGTGTGCGCCTACTTCGTCAACACCACCGAGACCACGCTGTTCGATCTGAAGCAGGGCTATTGCACCACCGGCTGGAACAAGAGCCGCAAGGCGTGCTGCCAAGGTGCCTCGATATGCGACAACTGGCTCAAGTGGTCCGAGGCGGTCCGCAATGACAGGCTGGACGTCGTCCAGACCCAATATGGCTTTTTCGTCCTCTCCGTCATCTTGCTCTCCATGGCCTCGTGTCTGCTCACGCTCACCACAAAAACAGTTATCCCTTCAGCCATCTCACTGTCCACACTCGACGAAAACCTCGGCGCAGAAGTCCGGAGATACTCTGATCAGGCAGAGGAAGAAGACCGCAAGCGCAGCATCAGCCCAGAGTCAAGGTTCCAGGAAGTCCAGGCACGGCCACCCATGGTCTACTACTCCGCTGCTGGCAGTGGTGTAGCCGAAGTCAAGGTCATCCTCAGTGGTTTCGTTCTCCACGGTTACCTGGGTGTACGCACACTGCTCGTCAAGACGCTAGCTCTGATCCTCAGTGTTGCATCGGGCCTCAGTCTCGGTAAGGAGGGCCCATACGTGCACATTGCGACTTGCATAGGAAACATTGCGTGTCGTATATTCTCAAAGTATAGCAACAACGACGGCAAACGCAGGGAGATTCTCAGCGCTAGTGCCGCTAGTGGTGTTGCCGTAGCTTTCGGCGCTCCGATTGGCGGAGTGCTCTTCAGTCTGGAGGAAGTGAGCTACTACTTTCCGTCCAAGACGCTCTTCAGAACCTTCTTTTGCTGCATCGTAAGTCACTAGTCTCTCCTCTCGACCTTGCTGATCGCTTGTAGGCGGCTGCATTATCTCTTAAATTCCTGGATCCATACGGCACCAAGAAGATCGTGCTTTTCGAGGTTCGTTATCATCTAGACTGGAAGTTTTTTGAACTTGCGACCTTTGTCTTCACCGGCGCTGTGGGCGGTGTTCTCGGCGCATTGTTCATCAAAGCATCTCGCATCTGGGCACGAACATTCCGTCGCATACCCGTTATCAAGAAGCATCCGCTCCTTGAGGTCTTCCTGGTTGCGCTTGTGACTGGTTTGATCAGTTTCTGGAACCGATACACCAAACTTCCCGTCACCGAACTCTTGTTCGAACTGGCAAGTCCGTGCGACACGTACACTGACACCGGCGACGGTCTCTGTCCGACTCTCGAGCATATTCCGAGCGTACTCAAAACCTTGTTCTTCGCATTTGTCATCAAAGCTCTTCTGACTGTCGTCACCTTTGGTATCAAGGTCCCAGCCGGTATCTATGTACCTTCCATGGTCGTAGGCGGTCTCGCTGGGCGCTTTATCGGCCACACTGTTCAACTTGCTGCTCTACGCTTCAACCATCTGGGCGTCTTCGGAGAGTGTTCGCCTGACGGTCCGCCAGGTTCATGCGTCGTTCCTGGAGTGTACGCGCTAGTGGCTGCTGGAGCAACAATGACCGGTGTCACTCGTCTTAGTATCACACTGGCAGTTATCTTATTCGAGCTCACGGGTAGTCTGGATCACGTACTCCCTTTCTCTCTCGGCATTCTGGTCGCCAAATGGGTGGCGGATGCCATTGAACCGCTCAGTATCTACGACCTGCTCACAGACATGAACTCGTACCCATTCCTCGATAACAAAGTTCGGCCCATCTTCACATCCGAGCTTGGCGACATCACTACTGGGAAGAGACAGGATCATATCATCGATATTTCAGAAGACGCGCTCATCCCTGCAGTCGAGCTGCGTGCAAAGCAACGTGGACTGCAAATGATAGGTGAACTGGACGGCGGCCTATCCATCATCAAGAACGGCGTTCTTGTTGGCCTCATTCCCGCACCAGATCTAGAGTTTGCGCTCGATAAGCTGGAGAACGAAGAGAACACGCTTTGCCTCATGTCACCACGAGTCGATTGGGCTGCAGGGCGTGAGCCCCAAGACGAAGAAGAGCAAGAAGCTTACGATCCAAGTGATTTCACTCCATATATTGACCCAGCACCTGTTGCATTGGATGTTCACTCACCGATGGACTTGGTATACGAATGCTTTGTAAAGCTCGGACTACGATATATATGCGTGCTCAGGGATGGCAAGTACGCTGGTCTGGTACGTATCACGTTAGCAGTTGAGACTGAGCAATACTAACTGCAAGTAGGTTCATAAGAAGACTTTTGTCAAGTACGTCAAAGAATTGGAGCATCAGGAAAAGAAAGGACGTGAGATCTAAGTCCTAGCGGCATTACATTTCCCTTCTTTGTTTCTTGCATAGCGTCATACCCTCATTATCATTCAGCGATCTTTCTCTTCACTTTCAGTTCATTTTCACAAGCATATACTGCATTTAGACTGGCGTTGTATGGCATGTCTTCGTAGATGACGCGGTATCACATGGCAAGCGTAGAGCATACATGGAATCATTCATTCAAAATGTTCACAGGATTGGTTTACACCCTCCATTATTGCATCCGGTGTTTCCGTATCAACACAGCTATAAGATGGCCGACTACTTACTCTTGAACATTTCACGCACTCTACCATTTGAGGTCTTACTCCCCGATCTTGCCATGCGATGTGGTAGTGCAGCCGTTCGCACGGTCCCTGATGTGTGCGCACGCGATCGCATCAACCTCCTATCTGACATCGTTGCCTGAAATAATTTTCTACGCAGCTGCACATTCACTTCTTGTGGAGTCGTGACCTAGCGTCTACGCTGAATCATATCCATAGTCGAGTGAAATGTACATAAGGATCAACCTGACAATTACGACCATTACCGCTACATATAGAACCGATCTCATCTGCCTGTCTACCAGGAATCGTTGCAATGCGTATGGCCTTGTTATTTCTCCTGTTCTTAGGGGTTCTTACATTAGTACTAGCCTCCACGAATCGGTACTGTCGCACCGGATCCGAAACTGACGCCCTCGATCTTGGCTCTATCGGCCCCCAGGAGGGTAACATGAATCACTTCAAATTTGGTATCGCGCAACCCTGGCCTCCCATCAGCATCCCTAAGAAGGGCCGGATTCGTCTCCTTCGATATTGCTTTGCGACCGCCAAGGCCAAAGCGGAACTTGGTTGTCCACTCCAGAAGGGGTTCAAGATATGGGCCGACGCCATCAAGACACCAGCCAGTGCTGCGAACGGCCATTGCCTCGGGTGGATGGAGATTCATGACGGCAACGAGGATAAAAATGAGAGAATGTATCCGACCTGCTACCTCGATGACTACAAGGACAAGAAAGAGCCTGGGACGTGGAACCCAAAAGTGAGCGCGGACGCTCTTGCAATACACCTTGGGGCAGAAGAAGAAGCGCCATACGCTAGCATTGGGTATGATCATCGCAAAACCACCGCTGGCCGTCATTACATGGTCATGGGCTCGAAAAGCACCGAGCCACATCGGGTAGCCCACGAAGTAAGTCTCTATGTTGCCAGTCGAGCACCCCTCGTCTCCAAGTCCGCTGACACAAGAGCTAGATCGGCCACGTCCTCGGCATGACTCACGAGCACTGCCGGTTTGACCGCGACGAAAACGTCCTTTTCCGCTGCGACAAACTAGTAGGCTACAAAGACGCCCTTATCGCCGCCAGCGTCGCCGGCCACCAAGACGCCGCAGAGCGCCTCTGCACCGAGCAAGGCTTTGCGAACGAATTCAACTTCGAAGCTGGTGCCCAGTACATCAAGAACGCTGCTTTCAACAGCATCTACGCTCCCATCATGGACGAAGGCCCCTTTGACCTCGGCTCCATCATGATTTATCCTTCGAATGCGTATGCCGCGGACTCGAATTGCTGGGAAAAGAACGATATCAGTGTTTGTCCGCCTGTTGCTGCGCGCTTTGGGTCCACGTGGGCAATTCAGGTTAATACGGCGCCGTCGGTGGGAGATGTTAATTTTGTCAGGGCGTGGTATCCGTGGCTTGAAGAGCAGAAGGAACCTGGTGCTGAGAAGCCGACGACGGGTTCTGGTACTGTTGTTGTTGGTAAGCGTAGGGGAGACGAAGCAGAGCGTGAGTTTGTTAGAGTTCACCGTCTTGGGGTTAGAGATGGGAATGTTTTGGTGTTTGCATCGTAGAGGGAATTAGAAACGTCCATGGTGGTGGAAAGGAGACAACGGGTCGTGCCATGACTGGACGTTGGGGACATTGTCGCATGCCTGCTGTGAGAGACGCCGTTGCAGCTAGGGGTCGGAGAAGACTGTTCCCGTCGTTTGTAATTGTTCAATATCCTGCTTTTGATGTTGTCGCATAAGCAATAGAAGGATGAAGAGGCATAAGCCCCACTTCGCCCCTCCACCACCACAATGCCGCAAAAAAGAACATTCTTCACAACAGAACCCCAGTACGACACCAGCAAAAAGGAATGGCGTCTGCCTGCTGCCGTCGTTGCCTTCCGCCAGAATTGAACCTTCACGGCACGTCAGCGTCGGTCGTCTCCTGTGTGCTTCGAATGGGGGTGCTACTCACTGACGACCTCGTCATTACTAGTGACGCGCTCTACCACTGAGCTAGGAAGGCTTGCTAGTTGGATGGCAAACGCTTCAAATAAACGTCTTATGATCTAAGTCGTGGATGGCATCTATAGCCTACATCTATACACCGGTCCTTGCATTCGCCGTGATCGGCCGCCAAAATGCGGTGTCGTGTCTAGCGGGGCAAAACCATCAGGGTCTAATCACGGAGCGGCACAAGCGGGTACATATGAAATATCCGCAGCTCAATTTGTGCTAGCTGCAATCAACGCTTATTTCCTCCCCCCAACACTACCCTTCCACCTCCCTCTCCCCAACTTGTCAGTTCCCGTCTTCTCCGCATCTGCGCCATTGAAGACAACACTTCTCTCATCGCCCCTCGGCAGGACAACCTCCAGGTCCTTCCAATGCGGGACGAAGCCATCTTGCAATTTCTCCTCATATCGCACCAGTACCTGCGTGGCCGTTGACTCGAAGGATACTGTAAAGACGGAGATCCTGGCTGGCGGCGGCGAAACACCGTCGTCTTCGTACCAAGTAGACGTGTAGACTTTACCGTTGGAAGAAGCCTTTGGAGGGAAGATCTCTACCCCCCGGTAGTCGTCCAGGGGCAGGTTTGCCGGGTTGTTTGTTTCGCCTACAGAGAGGACTTGTTCCGCCCGTCCAACAGGTATCGCGCTTCCGACTTTCGCCAAAACAGGAATGCTGTACTGCCAGTGCGATGCAACATCAACCCACTGTCCCGCGCTATAATACGTTTGTGGGTTGTTGTTCAGGTCCAGAAATGCGGCATCAGGGTCTGAAGCGTCCTTGGGAAGATACATGCTAGCAGTCTCGGCACCAGGAGTGAAGACACCACCGACCAGTAGTGCATCACCAAGCCAGTACTGTGTCTCGCCATCGGTAAGAACCTTGTTGGTCCAAATCTCTGGATCACTCTCATATCCCCATCCAGTCCAACGCTGCGGTGGCGTGGCGGTCATGTGAGAATGCAGCGCTAGCGAGTAGAGATAGGGGATGAGTTCGTAGCGGCGCTTGATCGTGTCGCGGATTATGCTAGTCACCTCGGGATACATCCAAGGCTCGATAACATCGCCGACGCGGTTGTCTTTGCCCGTTTTGAAGCAGTTGATGGCGAAGCGCGGACTGTAGATGCCTTGCTGGCACCAGCGGACGAGAAGCTCGGGACTGGGCTGTGGGCCTTCGAAACCGCCTATGTCGTGGCCGTAGCATTGCATTAGACATACGCCCGCGGTGAGGGACAGAGCGTTGGCGCCTTTCATGCCTGGCCAAGAGGTGACATTGTCTCCGCTCCAGGCACTTGCACAGTATCGAAGCGTTCCTGCTGTGGCGCTTCGGGTCAAGATGAAAGGGCGTTGCGCAGGTTCTATCTCCAAGGCCGCATCGTGCGAAGACTTTCCCATCAGTTCGGTGTTGAGTGCGCGACCCCAGAATCCGATGCTGTTGCCATATTCGTCGCTCTTGGGCTCTTGGGTAACTGCTGGCTCATCTAGCGCGCACTGCCAGCCGTCGTGTGGAACAGTGTATTCGTTGTTGTCGTTCCAAATGCAGTCAATACCGACACGCTTCAGCTCGCGGATGCCGTCGTACCACCACTGGTACCCGGCCTTGGAAGTGAAGTCGATATGGCCACCGACTCCACTCTCACCTCCACCCGCGCTCCACAGTCTCGCTTCAGCCGATGCGAGTGTCAAAGAGTCCGTAAAGAATGCGCCAGCGTCTTTGAGCTTTTGATACTCGGGATGACTGCCCAATACATACGGCTTCACGTTTGCAATGAGCCGAATGCCTTCCTTGTGATAAGCATCGATCCAGCCTTTCGGATCAGGAAACCGATGCTTATTCCACGTAAACACGTTGCGCGTCTTCGGTTCTGTCTCTGCGACCGTATAGCCAGATGACATTTGCATGCCGGAGCAGGGAATGTCGTGTTCTTTGAGCTTGGCAGCGAACTCCATCATGCTCTGACTAGCAGGTGGGTCGTCCGTCATGGAGTACTTCATACCACCAGCCAGGTAACCGAATGCCCACCGCGGCACCAGAAGTGGATAGCCAACGAGGTCAGCGTAGATGCGCACAATATCCGGTAGTGTCTTTCCCACCAAGAGATACTCCTCGAGACCCCCATAGTCTTGACGATATACTTTGAAGCGTCCCCACATCCCATCCATCTCAGAGCCGACCTGGTAAAAGAGGTCAGCATGCGTCTCAGATGCAGGTGTACAGCGGTATTTCTTACAGAGTAGAAGCCACGAGCATGCGACGTTGAGAAGACACCAACACAGCCATCTGGCGTGCAATTGATCAGGAGAGGAATGTGCTTATAGAGCGGGTCTGTGCGATAAACATCGTAGCCGAAAGAGTCGGTGGCGGAGAGAACGAAGTGACGATTTGATAAATCCATGGGTGCTGGCTTCTCGCCAAGTCCAAGGTGAAGAGTCCCATTATTGTAGCGTGTGTAGTGCGAAACCCCAGGCCCATCAGCAACATAGGAGCGATTGGGCAGATCGGTATGAATGGGTGTCTTTTGGCCAGGAAGCGTAAGTGATACTATGGGTACACCGCCTTCCCAATCCACATTGGCAGTGACTCCATCGACGGCGAATGCTTTTGAGGTGGTGCTAGATGATACCCGTGCCGCAGTCGTGTCGTCCAGGGTCTTGCTCGGTACTGGTGTGGCTCGGTGTGGCGGCAACAAGTGCTTGGGCGACGTGAAAGTCGTTCGGAAAAGTCCAGGTCGTAAAGCGTCAAACGTGAAAACAAAGCCCGAGTTTGATTGCAACTCAACGCTCGTATTAAACGATGCCGTTGCGGGAACAGCTTGGTAGCCGCTGGGGACGTGCTCAAGCATCGGCATGATGAATATAGAACGGGTTTAACAGTTAGCAATGCCTGTCTTCTTGCCAAGTATCATGGCCATCATGAATCATACTGTACTTATAGCAAGGCAGGCCATTGAACTTCGCCCGAAGGTACCATCGGAGAAAACCGAAGGAGCCTACCCTCGTCACGAGGCTAAAGGCATCCATCCTTGGCTGCCGGTTTCTTCGGCCGTAGCTACGAGACCTAGCCCGAAGAGAGACAAGATCAGCGTCTGGGGTCCCCGTGGGGATGCGTATAAGTGCAGTCGGGCCATATTGACCTACTACTGCAGCATTATCTCAGACTCTTCCTGGGTTGATTGTAGTCTTCTTGTTGAACATGTCGAAACCGGAGGTGACCGACGACGTCGCCGCCTCCAAGCCCAATGTCGAAACCACGGAGTCGCTTTACAAGCCAGCCAATGCGACGGACGGCAAAGGCAAAGACAAAGCCGCCGCACTTCTCGCCTCGAACGAACGCATCGTCGTAACATCCGCCGAGAACAAACGCGTCTTGAAGAAGATCGATCTTGTCATCCTGCCCATCCTACTCAGCGTCTACTTCCTCCAATCACTCGACAAGACCACGTTGTCCTACGCCTCCGTCTTTGGCCTCATCGAAGATGCAAACCTCGATCCCAACAGTCAACAATACTCATGGCTTGGGAGTATCGTGTATATTGCGCAGCTAGTGGCACAGCCGTTGGTGGCAGTGTTGCTGGTCAAGCTCAGGATGGGGAAGTTCATGGGTGTAATGGTGTTCACCTGGGGCTGCATATTATGCGGAATGGCGGGTGCCAGCAGCTTCGCCGGGCTGATGGCCACGCGATTCTTGTTGGGCGCTTTCGAAGCTGCCGTTGGCAAGCCAACTCTTCAAGCCATCTCGAAGACTATCGCTAACGCATCTAGCTCCTGCTTTCATCGCCGTTGTTCAAATGTGGTATAAGCGTGGCGAGCAAACGAACCGAAACGCAGCTTGGTACGCCATGCTGGGTATGGTCAACATCCTCGGCAGTCTGCTCTGCTACGGGTTGGGCCACATCCAGTCCAATCTTCTGTACTCATACCAGATCATCTTTCTCTTTTGTGGTCTCCTCACAGTCGTCGTTTCGGTCTTTGTATGGTTGTTCATGCCCGATTCACCCATGGAGGCAAGTGGTTTCCCTGTACTAGTTGATGTGAGAGATATACTGACTTCGTGCCCCAATCTTTAGGCCAAGTTCTTCAACGATCACGAAAAGCTCGTCGCTGTCGAACGTCTGCGTATGAACCAGATGGGCGTTGCATCTCGTGTCTGGAAGTGGGACCACGTACTGGAGGCATTCATGGATCCCAAGACATGGCTTTGGTTTTCCATGTTGACAGCGATCAGCATCCCGAGTGGTGGTATCAGTGCTTTCGGGCCTCTGATCATCCAGAGTAAGTCCAACGTTCCTGCAAGCTGCAAGTCTGAACTCCACTGATTGCTCGAATTTCAGGTTTTGGGTTTGGGCCCTTCGCTACGATCCTCTTCAACATGCCTTTCGGCGTCATCCAGATTATAGCTACCTGCGGTGGAGCTTGGCTAGCCACGTGGCTGAAACGGAAGTCGCCCGTGCTGATACTCTTATGTATACCACCGATCGCCGGCATCGTCATCCTCATGGTCGTTGGCCGCGGCGACTCGAATCGCGGTGTACTTCTTCTCGGATACTACGTAAGTAGTGGCAACGCAAAACATGT